TCCTCCCCCCACCCCCCTTTCTACTTACCGTGTACATGTAGTAGTCAAAGAGTTGCGACATACAGCTGATCACCTCGAATGATATCGGCTTCAAGACCGAAATCATCTGCAAGTATTTACCTGCAAAAAAAAGTGCCAACAGAATATTTTGAAACATGAAAAGAAATCAAAGTTTTAGTTTTAGTATGTTTTACGGCGCTAGCAACTGCATAAGGTCATATGAGCGCCAGGAGATTAGAGGTTTTACAAGAGAGTAACAAACATAAAAAAAAGAAGGAGGGGAGATAAAGACGACAGATTTGATAGAAAAAAAGGAGCAAACCACACAAGAGCACCCGCCAACCACCCAGAAGAAATCCAAAATGAGATGAACACAAAGTCATTCAGCAGAGCTACAGAAAGGCAAACATAAGAACTTGAATTTCTAAAAAATATCTTGAAAAAAGAAAAATATCACAAACATTACTGTCCTTTCAAAAAAAATAAAAAATTAAGCTACAACGTCAGCACAAATCCACAGAGAGGAACTATCAGCAACCATTTCTTTGAATAAATAAAACTAAAACTTGTCAAATCATTGTGAAAACAAATGCACCACTGAAAAGAAATAACTCAGGACTGAATAACGATTTACTATCCTGACAATATAAACACCAATATACATTGTATTTAAGGCAATTTTTTCACAATGTTGGATGCAAATCATCGTTTTCTTTCCAGATGATCAAAACCATACAACTCTAAGAAGCCAATAATTCTGGAAATAAGTCATCCTGTTTCTATAAAAGAACAGCAATTTTAACACTTTGCCATCACAAGGCTCATAGAGTAAAAACCTTTGCCATCACAAGGCTCATAGATTAAAAACCTTTGCCATCACAAGGCTCATAGAGTCAAAACCTTTGCCATCACAAGGCTCATAGAGTCAAAACCTTTGCCATCACAAGGCTCATAGAGTCAAAACCTTTGCCATCACAAGGCTCATAGAGTAAAAACCTTTGCCATCAAAGATAAAGGCATTTTGGGGAAAATCCAAAGAAACTGGGTTGTAAACAATTTTTAACCCAGTCATCCTTTTCTGTGTATAAGATCAACATCCTGTTGGTGTAAAATGTTGAAACATTTTTTACACAGGTCATCCTGTTTGCACAAGAGGTCAAATACTTCCGACATTAGTGATCCCGTTTATGGAGAATGTTTACAGAAGAGTTGGTCGCTTTTAAGCACAAGGGGGGGGGGGGGCTATCCCGAAATATGCCGTTTTGAGAAAATCGAAGGTAAAGTTTTTGCCCCTTGTTCAGTCTCTCTAAAAAACAAGGAGAGTTTTCTCTATGACCAAACAAACATTCACAGCAATGAAACCAAACTTCTCCTATAGATAGGGCAAAGCCCACTTTTGGTGTAGGTCAAGATTTCTGGAAACCCCCCGAAATCTGAGTTAGCCCGCTTGTCCTTAAAAGCGACCAGTTGTGCCCATGCCCAGACCCGCCCGGGACTCACCCATGACCCGTAGAACGTTGAGCGTGGTGTTTGTGATGAGCGGCCCTTGTCTTCTCGACTTGTTGCGGCTCGTCGATCTTCTCAACCCATGCCTGGATGAATGAATGAGAAAACAGGAGAATGAACATCAGTTTTTAGTTTTAGTAAGCGTTTTACGGCACTTGCAACACAATAAGGTCATAAAAGTGCCGAAGATTAGAGGTGTTACAAAAGAGTGACAAACACAAAAAAGAAGAGGAGGAAGAGGAGGAACATGGAGGAGGAGGAGGAGAAAAAGAAGGAGGAGGAGGAGGAGGAGGAGAAGGCTCTCCCATCAGTTCGTCTATGTAGTCTTTCTTCAGCTCGACTGGAATGTCAACAACAACAACAACAACAACAACAACACCACCACCTCCACCACCACCTCCAACAACAGGGCCTCAGTACGAGCGACCTACTTGTATGAGTGAGCCTCTCCCGTCAGTTCGTCGATGTAGTCTTTCTTCAGCTCATCTGGAATGTCCGAGTCGCTGTCAGAGTCTCCGTATCCCTCCTCGTTTTCCTAGAGAATCAGACATACACAGAGTGAAGTCACAGACTTTGTTTAGTTCTTTTCTCACACTATAGGTGTTTCTATCCCTCCCTCCATCACATCAACACAATTCTAAAAATGGTATAAGTTTAACACTGTATCAAAATTGTTAGGTTATTTATGAGGCGGTACCGCCTGAGTTTTTTTTATAGTTTTTTTTATTTAGTAAGTGTTTTACGGTGCTCGCAACTGCATAAGGTCATATGAGCGCCAGAAGATTAGAGGTGTTACAAGAGAGTAACAAGCACAAAAAAGGAGAGAGAAGGACGATAGTTGTTTGATAGGAAAGAAGGAGCAAACCACAGAAGAGCACCCGCCAACCCCCCACATATCATAGGTGAGGCAGCGTGGTGAAATCAGGCGCTCCTCAAAATAATGAAATTGCAGAAAATCGGTATTTTTCCGCCGGTTTGACAATCTTTATTGAATTTTTTTGTTTTTTGGTTCAAAACCTTTTTTTATGTCGATTTGAAAACACATTTCTCTGTGAATTTCACTTGAAAACGTTGATTAAAGGCACAAAAAGTGTCAACTTTCAGTATCCAAGGACTGTCAAGCTACGGAAGTCACCAAACTTTGGCGGCCACTTTCTCCCAAAACTTACCTCTGAAAACAGGCGACCCCCACCTCCTTCAATCGCAAATATTTCAATTTCTATTAAAGACACTGCTATTATTTTCATCAAAAGCAAGACAAATGAACAAGCTTTCAGATGATACCAATAACTCCACAGGCCCAAAAATTGATGAGCGCCTGATTCCACCACGTCGTGACACAAAGTTGATTTTAAGCCTCCATCGACACAATTAAGATCAAAGGTCTCTAACCCTTTTCGACAGAAGAATGAAAAACGTCGTGGACAAAGAAGTTTACCCCTGAGCCAGAGAAAACATCCTCCTTCTCCTCGTCTTCCACCGGCTCGTCAAAAGGATTTCAATTTTTTTTCATCAAAAGCAAGACAAATGAACAAGTTCTAAGACGACACCAATAACTCCACACGCTCAAAAAATTGACACGCACCTGATTCCATCGTGTTACGACACATATGGGGTTAACAAGAAAAGAAAGGTTGAAAATAATAACTGATTTTTTAAACTGGATTTTTTGTGAAAATAACGTGTGGGGGGGG